AACAGTACTGTTTTAGTGTAGTACTAATGTTGTCCTATTAGTGTGGAACCTCTTGGTAACAGTACTGTTATAGTATAGTACTAATGGTGTGGTCCTATTAGTGTGGAACCTCTTGGTAACAGTACTGTTATAGTATAGTACTAATGTTGTGGTCCTATTAGTGTGGAACCTCTTGGTAACAGTACTGTTATAGTATAGTACTAATGTTGTGGTCCTATTAGTGTGGAACCTCTTGGTAACAGTACTGTTATAGTATAGTACTAATGTTGTGGTCCTATTAGTGGTGGAACCTCTTGGTAACAGTACTGTTTATAGTATAGTACTAATGTTGTGGTCCTATTAGTGTGGAACCTCTTGGTAACAGTACTGTTATAGTATAGTACTAATGCTGTGGTCCTATTAGTGTGGAACCTCTTGGTAACAGTACTGTTATAGTATAGTACTAATGCTGTGGTCCTATTAGTGTGGAACCTATTGGTAACAGTACTGTTATAGTATAGTACTAATGTTGTTGTCCTATAGTGTGGAACCTCTTGGTAACAGTACTGTTATAGTATAGTACCAATGCTGTTGTCCTATTAGTGTGGAACCTCTTGGTAACAGTACTGTTATAGTATAGTACCAATGCTGTGGTCCTATTAGTGTGGAACCTCTTGGTAACAGTACTGTTATAGTATAGTACTAATGCTGTGGTCCTATTAGTGTGGAACCTCTTGGTAACAGTACTGTTATAGTATAGTACTAATGTTGTTGTCCTATTAGTGTGGAACCTCTTGGTAACAGTACTGTTATAGTATAGTACTAATGTTGTTGTCCTATTAGTGTGGAACCTCTTGGTAACAGTACTGTTATAGTATAGCACTAATGTTGTGGTCCTATTAGTGTGGAACCTCTTGGTAACAGTACTGTTATAGTATAGTACTACTGTTGTTGTCCTATTAGTGTGGAACCTCTTGGTAACAGTACTGTTATAGTATAGTACTAATTTTGTTGTCCTATTAGTGGGGAACCTCTTGGTAACAGTACTGTTATAGTATAGTACTAATGTTGTTGTCCTATTAGTGTGGAACCTATTGGTAACAGTACTGTTATAGTATAGTACTAATGTTGTTGTCCTATTAGTGTGGAACCTCTTGGTAACAGTACTGTTATAGTATAGTACCAATGCTGTTGTCCTATTAGTGTGGAACCTCTTGGTAACAGTACTGTTATAGTATAGTACTACTGTTGTTGTCCTATTAGTGTGGAACCTCTTGGTAACAGTACTGTTATAGTATAGTACTAATGTTGTGGTCCTATTAGTGTGGAACCTCTTGGTAACAGTACTGTTATAGTATAGTACTAATGTTGTTGTCCTATTAGTGTGGAACCTCTTGGTAACAGTACTGTTATAGTATAGTACTAATGTTGTGGTCCTATTAGTGTGGAACCTCTTGGTAAAAGTACTGTTTTAGTGTAGTACTAATGTTGTCCTATTAGTGTGGAACCTCTTGGTAACAGTACTGTTATAGTATAGTACTAATGCTGTGGTCCTATTAGTGTGGAACCTCTTGGTAACAGTAATGTTATAGTATAGTACTAATGCTGTTGTCCTATTAGTGTGGAACCTCTTGGTAACAGTACTGTTATAGTATAGTACTACTGTTGTTGTCCTATTAGTGTGGAACCTCTTGGTAACAGTACTGTTATAGTATAGTACTAATGCTGTGGTCCTATTAGTGTGGAACCTCTTGGTAACAGTACTGTTATAGTATAGTACTAATGTTGTGGTCCTATTAGTGTGGGAACCTCTTGGTAACAGTACTGTTATAGTATAGTACTACTGTTGTTGTCCTATTAGTGTGGAACCTCTTGGTAACAGTACTGTTATAGTTATAGTACTAATGTTGTTGTCCTATTAGTCGGGAACCTCTTGGTAACAGTACTGTTATAGTATAGTACTAATGTTGTTGTCCTATTAGTGTGGAACCTCTTGGTAACAGTACTGTTATAGTATAGTACTAATGTTATGGTCCTATTAGTGGGGAACCTCTTGGTAACAGTACTGTTATAGTATAGTACTAATTTGTGGTCCTATTAGTGTGGAACCTCTTGGTAACAGTACTGTTATAGTATAGTACTAATGTTTTGTCCTATTAGTGTGGAACCTCTTGGTAACAGTACTGTTATAGTATACTACTACTGTTGTTGTCCTATTAGTGTGGAACCTCTTGGTAACAGTACTGTTATAGTATAGTACTAATGTTGTTGTCCTATTAGTGGGGAACCTCTTGGTAACAGTACTGTTATAGTATAGTACTAATGTTGTTGTCCTATTAGTGTGGAACCTCTTGGTAACAGTACTGTTATAGTATAGTACTAATGATGTGGTCCTATTAGTGTGGAACCTCTTGGTATCAGTACTGTTATAGTATAGTACTAATGTTGTGGTCCTATTAGTGTGGAACCTCTTGGTAACAGTACTGTTATAGTATAGTACTATTGTTGTTGTCCTATTAGTGGGGAACCTCTTGGTAACAGTACTGTTATAGTATAGTACTAATGTTGTTGTCCTATTAGTGGGGAACCTCTTGGTAACAGTACTGTTATAGTATAGTACTAATGTTATGGTCCTATTAGTGTGGAACCTCTTGGTAACAGTACTGTTATAGTATAGTACTAATGTTGTGGTCCTATTAGTGTGGAACCTCTTGGTAACAGTACTGTTATAGTATAGTACTAATGTTATGGTCCTATTAGTGTGGAACCTCTTGGTAACAGTACTGTTATAGTATAGTACTAATGTTGTTGTCCTATTAGTGGGGAACCTCTTGGTAACAGTACTGTTATAGTATAGTACTAATGTTGTTGTCCTATTAGTGGGGAACCTCTTGGTAACAGTCCTGTTATAGTATAGTACTAATGTTGTTGTCCTATTAGTGGGGAACCTCTTGGTAACAGTCCTGTTATAGTATAGTACTAATGCTGTGGTCCTATTAGTGTGGAACCTCTTGGTAACAGTACTGTTATAGTATAGTACTAATGCTGTTGTCCTATTAGTGGGGAACCTCTTGGTAACAGTACTGTTATAGTATAGTACTAATGCTGTTGTCCTATTAGTGTGGAACCTCTTGGTAACAGTACTGTTATAGTATAGTACTAATGCTGTTGTCCTATTAGTGTGGAACCTCTTGGTAACAGTACTGTTATAGTATAGTACTAATGTTGTCCTATTAGTGTGGAACCTCTTGGTAACAGTACTGTTATAGTATAGTACTAATGCTGTTGTCCTATTAGTGGGGAACCTCTTGTTAACAGTACTGTTATAGTATAGTACTAATGCTGTTGTCCTATTAGTGTGGAACCTCTTGGTAACAGTACTGTTATAGTATAGTACTAATGCTGTTGTCCTATTAGTGTGGAACCTCTTGGTAACAGTACTGTTATAGTATAGTACTAATGTTGTCCTATTAGTGTGGAACCTCTTGGTAACAGTACTGTTATAGTATAGTACTAATGTTGTTGTCCTATTAGTGGGGAACCTCTTGGTAACAGTACTGTTATAGTATAGTACTAATGCTGTTGTCCTATTAGTGTGGAACCTCTTGGTAACAGTACTGTTATAGTATAGTACTAATGCTGTGGTCCTATTAGTGTGGAACCTCTTGGTAACAGTACTGTTATAGTATAGTACTAATGGTGTTGTCCTATTAGTGTGGAACCTCTTGGTAACAGTCCTGTTATAGTATAGTACTAATGCTGTTGTCCTATTAGTGGGGAACCTCTTGGTAACAGTCCTGTTATAGTATAGTACTAATGTTGTTGTCCTATCAGTATTGTCCCTGACCTCATGTGACACTACAAGCTGTAGGTGACAGCAACATCTGCCATTGGAATAGAAACTCATTCAATACAATCTAACTTCATTATCAGCAATTTATACATCATGTACTTTTTTTAAAATCTATTGTTTTTTTTTTTTTGATCTCTGATTGTTTATGATAAAGTATTAATTATAAATATGGCCCATTGTCCTTAGCCTGGGTACCAGTCTGTTTGGATAATATTCCACTTATGGTACGCCGTGCCATATGCCAAAGATGTTTAGCGCGTGACACAGATTGGCGAGGGGTGTAACACTAGCTCAACACACTGGTACCCAGACAACACTGTCCTGGCTATAATGCACAATGTAGAAATGTATTCAAATCTATTATTGTCTAAAAAGACATATCTTGATCACATCCAATACAAAATCATTAATAAATAAATCATCACTATATTGAGGTTCATTTAGGCTCCCCTCAGTGTCATGGCAACCATTCAATGCTTATAAAGTAAGCAAGTGTTTTTAGAAGACTAAAGGTGGCTTTTCACAACCTGCCCTGAATATTTTAGTACATTATGTACCCCAGCCAAAACCTTTCTCAGAAATGATAAAATACTAAATGTTATCCATTTGATTAAAATCTTATCTGGTTTGGATTTTAGCTAACGTAAATAACTACACTTTTTGTTTTGTTCAGTAGAGGGACAAAGGACAAATATCACCTAACGGGTCCTTTGAAATGGTCCAGTAACAAGAAATGTTCTTGCTTTTTCAGACAACCTCAATAGTTTAACTCAAAATAATGTCCCACTGAGATCAGAGAAGACACACAATTACAAGAGCTCTACACAAGTACATAGGAGTCTGACGCACCTCTGTCTCTCTCTCTCTCTCTCTCTCTCTCTCTCTCTCTCACTCTCTGTCTCTCTCTCTGTCTCTCTCTCTCTCTGTCTCTCTCTCCCTCTCTCTCTCTCTCTCTCTCACACACACTCTTTTCCTACCTTTGTTGGCTTGCTCAAACACATTTCCTTATGACCTCTCAGAGAAAGACACTGATACATACTGCATATGACACAGAAACACCCCCAATTATCTCTACGTATGTACGAGTTCAGGTTAACTCCAGTGTAAATGAATGTCTGCTTGGTTTGGTAACATGTCGTGGTGTCTTCTGTACGTTAACTTGTCAGTCTTAGTGTAGCCTTGATTTCCAGGCTTCCTCACATTCATTCTCAATGTTCATTATCAATAGCTAAATAATAATATAATAATATGCCATTTAACAGACGCTTTTATCCAAAGCGACTTACAGTCATGTGTGCATACATTTTTACGTATGGGTGGTCCCGGGGATCGAACCCACTACCCTGGCGTTACAAGCGCCGTGCTCTACCAATTGAGCTACAGAGGACCGCTGAGTGATGAACAAGACTTGGTAGGATAGCATCGATTCACAAGACTAGTCATCATGTAGCCCCAGGGCCAGTAACACAGGCAGCCCTGCTCCCAGTATCAGTGTGAGGCTCTCCAGGGCCCCCAGGCCCTCCGGCTGCCCGGTCCCAGTGCCGTGGAGGTGGAGGTGGGAGGAGCTCTGCTGCTGCTGCCCCCTGGAGCTGACCTCTGGTAGTACATGGACCGTAGCTACGTAGAGGAACGTCCCGGCTGAGAAGAGCATCCCAACACCTGTAGCGGTCAGACGGTGCTGGGACGATCCGCCACTCTGCAGTAGGAGGGGAAAAAAACACACAACACACTGACGTCATGTCAACGTTATCAAATCACTTTTCACTGTTGGTAGTAGTTCTCTCTAGCCTGGTCCCAGTGATTGTTTTGCTCTCTTACCAGCTACTATGTTCAGCAGTTGGCAAAACGGCATACATGTATTCCCAGAACCAGGCTTAGTTCTCCCCTCTAACAATCTTAAATAATTTACTAGTTTAATATAAAAAGGTTCCCATTAGATAAAGCACCTTTCTTCTTATTATAGCACATTCTTCTACGTCACTAAACAGCTTCTTCTCACCGCGTTCAGGATAAAGTATGTACTGATGGAGAGCACAGGTGCTGCAGCAGAGAAGACCAATAGATGCTTCTGAATCTGCTTCTTCTCTAAACCTGCGTGCATCAGAAAGGTGACCAGGCCAAACGCTGCAGGAGCCTGAGGGAGGGAGGGAGGGAGGGAGAGAGGGAGGGAGAGACGGAGAGAGAGAGAGAGAGAGAGACAGAGAGAGAGAGACAGAGAGAGAGAGAGAGAGAGAGGGAGAGGGAGAGGGAGAGGGAGAGAGAGAGAGAGAGAGAGAGAGAGAGAGAGAGAGAGAGAGAGAGAGAGAGAGAGAGAGAGAGAGAATCAAATCAATTCAAGTACATTGAATTGAGAGAGGGCTTAAGGAGTTTGCAAGAACAATCAACCATTGCTTGGTTTGTCAAGATGTCCTGTTGTCCAATATTGCTTGTGATATTAACTCCATAGCAGAAGCTGGTTAATCTAGTGGACTCTCACCTTGTGCAGAATCACAGCCAGGAACACCACGACTTGAACTGTGACCTGGGAGGAAGCCACAGCCGCACCTAAAGCCACACCATCAGCTGGGGAGAGAGGGAGAGGAAACAATGTTATTACAACACACACACACACACACACACACACACACACACACACACACACACACCGTCAGCTACAGACAGGCAGAGGAGAGAGACAATGATCACTACACACACAGACAGACACACTGACAGATACACAGACAGACACACTGACAGATACACAGACAGACAGACAGACAGACAGACAGACAGACAGACAGACAGACACACAAGTCGTAAATGTTCATGTCGAGGTCTTGGACTAGAATGTTTTCCACTTCCCCTATAAAGCTGGAGGTCTTGCACTACCTCATATTGGAGACGTATTACTGGGCTGCACTACTGCCTTCACTTAAACAATGGACAGCAGACTATCCCTGCCCATGGAGGAGTATCGAAGCCTTAAAAGTAATACATTGTGATCTAAAATACACAACAGTATGTGGACACCCCTTCAAATTAGTGGATTTGGCTATTTCAGCATAACCCGTTGCTGACAGGTGTATAAAATCGAGCACACAGCCATGTAATCTCCATAGACAAACATTGGCAGTAGAGTATGTGTGTGTGGGTGTGTGTGTGGGTGTGTGTGTGTGTAGTGTGTAGCGTGTTACCTACCAGCAGCATGGATGACCAGTCCTAGTGTAGCTGTGATGCTGGTCCTGTTGGACATTCCAGTCTGTGGATCTAGAATGACAACACCATTAACCAACTGTTAGCAACATGAGCTTTTTGGACATGCTGAATGGTAGCACAATGACAAAGGTTTGGAGAGGTTTAAAGTGGAGGTTTGGAGAGGAGGTTTGGAGAGGAGTTTGGAGAGGAGGTTTGGAGTGGAGGTTTGGAGAGGAGGTTTGGAGAGGAGGTTTGGAGTGGAGTTTGGAGAGGAGGTTTGGAGTGGAGGTTTGGAGAGGAGGTTTGGAGAGGAGGTTTGGAGTGGAGGTTTGGAGAGGAGGTTTGGAGTGGAGGTTTGGAGTGGAGGTTTGGAGTGGAGTTTGGAGAGGAGGTTTGGAGTGGAGGTTTGGAGAGGAGGTTTGGAGTGGAGGTTTGGAGTGGAGGTTTGGAGAGGAGGTTTGGAGAGGAGGTTTGGAGTGGAGGTTTGGAGTGGAGGTTTGGAGTAGAGGTTTGGAGAGGAGGTTTGGAGAGGAGGTTTGGAGAGGTTTTTCTTGGAGAGGAGGTTTGGCAAGGAGTGAAACTTTGAGAAGATGTGGAGGATGTATAACCGGTGCTTCCAGATCAGTCTTGCCAACTTGTATGGTCATTGTCATCCCAAACAGGCATTGGCTATGCAACCCAGCACAAAGAGATCTGCAACCAGGCTAGAAGACTTACGCTATATGAAGTAACTTGACCTGAAAATATGAAGTACATTTTCCTTTTTTTACTGCAAATTCCCGAGTGCAGACCTTCCTTATTTTCATTATAACGGATTACTTTTGGCTACGACAACACACCACAAACGGACGAAAGTATATAATTTGATGACTACAGTTTTCCCTTTTTCATATGGACAAACTGACCATGTGTATGGAGCAAGCTAGAGATACACTATACATACAGCAGTATGTGGACACGCCTTCAAATTAGTGTATTCGGCTATTTCAGCCACACCCGTTGCTGACAGGTGTATAAAAATCGAGCGCACCGCCATGCATTCTCCATAGACAAACATTGGCAGTAGAATGGTCTTACTGAAGAGCTCAGTGACTTTCAACGTGGCACCGTCATAGGATGCCACCTTTCCAACAAGTCAGTGCTGTTTTTCATGGTTCGGGCTAGGCCCCTTAGTTCCAGTGAAGGGAAATCTTAAAGCTACATTATACAATGTCATTCTAGACGATTCTGTGCTTCCAACTTTGTGGTAACAGTTTGGGGAAGGCCCTTTCCTGTTTCAACATGATAATGCCCCCGTGCACAAAGCGAGATCCGAAACAGAAAATGGTTTGTCAAGATCGGTGTGGAAGAACTTGACTGGCCTGCACAGAGCCCTGACCTCAACCCTATCGAACGCATTTGGGATGAATTGGAACGCCGACTGCGAACCAGGCCTAATCGCCCAACATCAGTGCCCGACCTCACAAATGCTCTTGTGGCTGAACGGAAGCAAGTCCCCGCAGCAATGTTCCAACATCTAGTGGAAAGCCTTCCCAGAAGAGTGGAGGCTGTTATAGCAGCAAAGGGGGGGGACCAACTCCATATTAATGCCCATGATTTTGGAATGAGATGTTGGACGAGCAAGTGTCCACATACTTTCGGTCATGTAGTGTATGATGCTATATGAAGTAGTAACTCAATGGAGAAGGGTGAAGTTGCCCCCAGACACTGATTTTTGTATTTCCCCCACTAATGGTTAAATTTAGGATTGGGGAAGAGGAAGCGGATCCTAGATCTGTATCTAGGGGAAACTTCACCCCAAAGCAGGTTTTCAATGGGTCGGGCTAATGCTTACAATTCTAGCCCAATTAACGCTAGGGAAGTTAGCGTCTTCACAGTGTGTTTTCAATAGGACAGGCTAAATGCTAATAGAGGGATGAGCTAGAGTCTTCACCCCGGAGCATAACTGACCGTGTATGGAGCAGTAGCTACTGATCTGGTCCACCAGGAACATGAGGGTGAACCCTACGACCAGGGAGACTCCGATGAAGAACCGTGCTGGAAGGCCTTTAGAGGCGGGGTCCTCCTGCTGGAGCTGACCTCTGACCCCATTGTCACTGGCATTCTGATTGGCTGATGCTGGGGCCACAGAGCAGGAGGAGACTGGGGAGAGAATATGGAGAGGTGTGTTTTCTTAAAACATTGACTTTTATCAACAGGTACACTCAACCAGATATGGAGCCAACATCCTCAAATAAAAAGCTTTTATGTTGTGTATCCCTATGTACAGTATTTAGATTCTACAGTACCAATCCATAGATTCAGTGTGTGAAAACTCTAGCTTGGAAATGTTGATGATGGGCATTTCCATCTAAAAGGACCCATGAGCACCAACAAGTGAAGATCATAGGAGCATGTCAAATGAAAGCTAAGAGACTATATATTTTTTAGAAATTAAGGCATATATAAATGTTTCTACCATTTTCCATCCTAAAAATTTGGAATAAGCAAAGGCTTTGATTTCTGGTCAAACAGATGGAAAAAAGGGTCTTAGACAACATCTACCAGAAAAATTCTTAAAAGGTATTAGAAATACATCAAAACAGAATAATGTTGAAGTATCAACATTTATATTTAGTTTTGGAGAATGTTTTTGCCTTCTGTAAGTTTAAGAAACATTGCCTTGTAATTCCGTTACCAAAAACCCACATTTCTTTAAGATATTTTCAAAATTTTACATTAGAGCGACTTACAGTTAGTGCATTCATCTTAAGATAGCTAGGTGGGACAACCACATATCACAGTCATAGAAAGTACATTTTCCTCAATAACGTAGCTGTCAGTAGAGTCAGAGATAAAAGGGGGGGGGGGGGGGGGGGGGGGTTCAAGTTTAGGTTATTTTTGTTTTCTCTCTCCCTCATGAGGATAATGAAAGTTCACATAAGTAACAAGTAAAGGCAGACCTACCAATAATTAAAACTTGTAATTCTGTTACCAAATCGGTAACGGAATTACCCAAAAATCTAACGAAATTACTGCAACTGAATTGGCTACGATGGGAATTCATTGTATCAATAAAGCACAGATGGGCCATATTTATAATTAATACTTTATCATAACAATCAGAGATAAAAACAATAGATACAAAAGTACATGATGTATAAATTGCTGATTAGAAAGTTAGATTGTATTGAATGTGTTTCTATTCCAATGGCAGATGTTGCTGTTACCTACAGCTTGTAGTGTCACATGAGGTCAGGGACAATACTGATAGGACCACAGCATTAGTCCTATACTATAACAGTACTGTTACCAAGAGGTTCCCCACTAATAGGACAACAGCATTAGTACTATACTATAACAGGACTGTTACCAAGAGGTTCCCCACTAATAGGACAACAGCATTAGTACTATACTATAACAGTACTGTTACCAAGAGGTTCCCCACTAATAGGACAACAGCATTAGTACTATACTATAACAGTACTGTTACCAAGAGGTTCCCCACTAATAGGACAACAGCATTAGTACTATACTATAACAGTACTGTTACTAAGAGGTTCCACACTAATAGGACAACAACATTAGTACTATACTATAACAGTACTGTTACCAAGAGGTTCCCCACTAATAGGACAACATTAGTCCTATACTATAACAGGACTGTTACCAAGAGGTTCCCCACTAATAGGACAACAACATTAGTACTATACTATAACAGTACTGTTACCAAGAGGTTCCCCACTAATAGGACAACATTAGTCCTATACTATAACAGGACTGTTACCAAGAGGTTCCCCACTAATAGGACAACAGCATTAGTACTATACTATAACAGTACTGTTACCAAGAGGTTCCCCACTAATAGGACAACAGCATTAGTACTATACTATAACAGGACTGTTACCAAGAGGTTCCACACTAATAGGACAACAGCATTAGTACTATACTATAACAGTACTGTTACCAAGAGGTTCCCCACTAATAGGACAACAGCATTAGTACTATACTATAACAGTACTGTTACCAAGAGGTTCCCCACTAATAGGACAACAGCATTAGTACTATACTATAACAGTACTGTTACCAAGAGGTTCCACACTAATAGGACAACAACATTAGTACTATACTATAACAGTACTGTTACCAAGAGGTTCCACACTAATAGGACCACAACATTAGTACTATACTATAACAGTACTGTTACCAAGAGGTTCCACACTGATAGGACAACAGCATTAGTACTATACTATAACAGTACTGTTACCAAGAGGTTCCACACTAATAGGACAACAGCATTAGTACTATACTATAACAGTACTGTTACCAAGAGGTTCCACACTAATAGGACAACAACATTAGTACTATACTATAACAGTACTGTTACCAAGAGGTTCCACACTAATAGGACAACAACATTAGTACTATACTATAACAGTACTGTTACCAAGAGGTTCCACACTAATAGGACAACAACATTAGTACTATACTATAACAGTACTGTTACCAAGAGGTTCCACACTAATAGGACAACAGCATTAGTACTATACTATAACAGTACTGTTACCAAGAGGTTCCCCAACTAATAGGACAACAGCATTAGTACTATACTATAACAGTACTGTTACCAAGAGGTTCCACACTAATAGGACCACAGCATTAGTACTATACTATAACAGTACTGTTACCAAGAGGTTCCACACTAATAGGACAACAACATTAGTACTATACTATAACAGTACTGTTACCAAGAGGTTCCACACTAATAGGACAACAACATTAGTACTATACTATAACAGTACTGTTACCAAGAGGTTCCACACTAATAGGACAACAACATTAGTACTATACTATAACAGTACTGTTACCAAGAGGTTCCACACTAATAGGACAACAACATTAGTACTATACTATAACAGTACTGTTACCAAGAGGTTCCACACTAATAGGACAACAGCATTAGTACTATACTATAACAGTACTGTTACCAAGAGGTTCCACACTAATAGGACCACAGCATTAGTACTATACTATAACAGTACTGTTACCAAGAGGTTCCACACTAATAGGACAACAGCATTAGTACTATACTATAACAGTACTGTTACCAAGAGGTTCCCCACTAATAGGACAACAACATTAGTACTATACTATAACAGTACTGTTACCAAGAGGTTCCCCACTAATAGGACAACATTAGTACTATACTATAACAGGACTGTTACCAAAAGGTTCCCCACTAATAGGACAACAGCATTAGTACTATACTATAACAGTACTGTTACCAAGAGGTTCCACACTAATAGGACAACAGCATTAGTACTATACTATAACAGTACTGTTACCAAGAGGTTCCCCACTAATAGGACAACAGCATTAGTACTATACTATAACAGTACTGTTACCAAGAGGTTCCACACTAATAGGACAACAGCATTAGTACTATACTATAACAGTACTGTTACCAAGAGGTTCCACACTAATAGGACAACAGCATTAGTACTATACTATAACAGTACTGTTACCAAGAGGTTCCCCACTAATAGGACAACAGCATTAGTACTATACTATAACAGTACTGTTACCAATAGGTTCCACACTAATAGGACAACAGCATTAGTACTATACTATAACAGTACTGTTACCAAGAGGTTCCACACTAATAGGACCACAGCATTAGTACTATACTATAACAGTACTGTTACCAAGAGGTTCCACACTAATAGGACAACAACATTAGTACTATACTATAACAGTACTGTTACCAAGAGGTTCCACACTAATAGGACAACAACATTAGTACTATACTATAACAGTACTGTTACCAAGAGGTTCCACACTAATAGGACAACAACATTAGTACTATACTATAACAGTACTGTTACCAAGAGGTTCCACACTAATAGGACAACAGCATTAGTACTATACTATAACAGTACTGTTACCAAGAGGTTCCCCACTAATAGGACAACAGCATTAGTACTATACTATAACAGTACTGTTACCAAGAGGTTCCACACTAATAGGACCACAGCATTAGTACTATACTATAACAGTACTGTTACCAAGAGGTTCCACACTAATAGGACAACAACATTAGTACTATACTATAACAGTACTGTTACCAAGAGGTTCCACACTAATAGGACAACAACATTAGTACTATACTATAACAGTACTGTTACCAAGAGGTTCCACACTAATAGGACAACAACATTAGTACTATACTATAACAGTACTGTTACCAAGAGGTTCCACACTAATAGGACAACAACATTAGTACTATACTATAACAGTACTGTTACCAAGAGGTTCCACACTAATAGGACAACAGCATTAGTACTATACTATAACAGTACTGTTACCAAGAGGTTCCACACTAATAGGACCACAGCATTAGTACTATACTATAACAGTACTGTTACCAAGAGGTTCCACACTAATAGGACAACAGCATTAGTACTATACTATAACAGTACTGTTACCAAGAGGTTCCCCACTAATATGACAACAACATTAGTACTATACTATAACAGTACTGTTACCAAGAGGTTCCCCACTAATAGGACAACAGCATTAGTACTATACTATAACAGTACTGTTACCAAGAGGTTCCCCACTAATAGGACAACAACATTAGTACTATACTATAACAGTACTGTTACCAAGAGGTTCCCCCACTAATAGGACAACATTAGTACTATACTATAACAGGACTGTTACCAAAAGGTTCCCCACTAATAGGACAACAGCATTAGTACTATACTATAACAGTACTGTTACCAGATGTTCCCAACTAATAGGACAACAGCATTAGTACTATACTATAACAGTACTGTTACCAAGAGGTTTCCCCACTAATAGGACAACAGCATTATACTATACTATAACAGTACTGTTACCAAGAGGTTCCACACTAATAGGACAACAGCATTAGTACTATACTATAACAGTACTGTTACCAAGAGGTTCCACACTAAGAGGACCAGACAGCATTAGTACTATAACTATAACAGTACTGGTTAACCGAAAGAAGGTTTCCCCACTAATATGGACAAATACCAGCATTAGTACTAGACGATAACAGTACTGTTGACCAATAGGTTCCACCCTAAAAGGACACAAGCATTTAGTACTATAACTATAACAGTATACTGTTTGCCAAGAGGGTTCCACACTAATAGGACCACA